CGCTAGAAACTCTCGAAAATTCCGAAACACTAACGAACATACCCGAAAAAACACGGCAAAAACGTGGCCACCTATTCGACAGGAAATAATCCCGTCTACGCCCGGGGAAGGGGAGGACCGGCCAATCCCAGCCGTCCATCGGACAAGATCTGACGGCATCGGCAACGCCCGCGCAATTAATTTCCTCGACGTGCGCTCGCCATCAGCATCCTTCCGCCCCCTTCCCCGATAGGGTTTGCTCCCCTATCAGAAACTAGATGGGCAGAATCGGGGCTCTGATACCAGCTGTTATGAATTATAACTCAGAGTATAGCGCAGAATACTATAAGGGAACGTGATTCCAGAATCCTCATGAATAATGAGACCTAGGGCTTATATAGTGCGAGTTGACCAGGTCGAAATGTCGAGGGTTGGACCAGTCGAGGGCTTGGTAGTCCCGAGGGTGACGGGGTCAAAACGGGTTCGGGGCGACTCGGGATCAGGTTGGAGCCGAAAAGGTCGTCAAGGGCTGGTTTGGCGCGATAAACCAGGGCCGAGCCTGCGGACCCGCACTGTTCTCAGTACTCGCTGTGGCGAGTCCCTGTAAGGAATCAGAATTCCTTACAATAGCCCCCGGGCGTTATACAAAAAGTGCCACTAATTACACCCCCACTAAATTTTGCATCAAAATTTAGTGCCACCCGTGGGTGTTTTATCCGGGGGAATGCGGTACGGTAATATAATATCATTGTGCAATTTGGAGAGCACTGGCGATGGCCCCTATGGACACATTAAAACCACAGGCTAGAATAGCAAAGGGGGGGTGCACTTGAAAATCTTGTTTTTTTTAGGGTCAGAGGAAAGAGCCCACTTTCCAGTGGTACACCTACCCCCACGCGAAAAAACGAATGCTGCGATTTTGCAGCGCGAGGTGATTGGATGACGGTGCAAAGCGGATCGTAACCCCCCTGTTTAGCACCTCGCGACAAACTCAAGGGTCGCAATGCTCAACCAAAACTACGTCCTTGCGACAACCCGCCACCAGGCAGATTTTCAAGTGAGCCCCAGGTGTGCTATTGCTTTCCAAACGTAGAAGACCCCGTAACCTACGCTAGCTTAGAGCAGCTCCTGCCAAAATTCCACGCTCTAAAAAATCGTCCAGCGCGAGGACGAGCAGGAGTAGTCCCCTGCGTGCGCGTGACCCTTTAGAACCGAGAAAAGACCCCATCTCGTGCAGTAGCGGCGGCAATACGGGGTGGAAGCATTATAGGGAGCCAAACCGTCCCTATTGACAACCGTAGCTCGCGTAGACTATTAGGCAGCAAGCCACGGGTGCTTGTAACACGGCTAGCAACACGTGGGCAAGACCGCCCAGAAGTTAGCGTCCCTTTCGTGAAGCATAGTGAGCCCCTCCCTCGACTGCTCGTCGCCGTGGCCCGCCAGTTGCGCGAGAACTTAGTCCACGGCGTCGGGCAAACGGTTGGGAGAACGGTTGGGAGAACGGTTGGTTGAACGGTTGGGAGAACGAGGCGGGCGAGCCGGGGAAAGAGAGGGAGAGGAGAACGGAATGAGGGAGAGAGGAGAGTGGAAGGGGGAAAGCGAGTGGAATGAGGGGGAATCGAGCGGAATGAGGGGGAGAGGAGAGCCAAATGAGGGGGAGAGGAGAGTGGAAAAGAGGGGGAGAGAAGAGCGGAATGGGGGGGAGAGGAGCGCGGAGTGGGGGGAAAAGGCGAGTGGAATGAAAGGGGGAGGAGAGGCAAATGAGGGGGAGAGGAGAGCGGAATGAGGAAGGCAGGGAGATAGGGGCAGGGGAATGGGGAAGGCAGGGAGAAAAGGGACAGGGAAATGTGGAGGGCAGGGAGAAAGGGGACAGGGAAAGGGGGAAGGCAGGAAGAGGGGCAACAAAGGGCAGGGAGAGGGGCAACAAAGGGAGGGAGAGGGGGAACAAAGGGCAGGGAAAGGGGGAACAAAGGGCAGGGAAAGGGGGAACAAAGGGCAGGGAGAGGGGGAACAAAGGCCAGGGAGAGGGGGAACAAAAGGCCAGGAGAGGGGGAACAAAAGGCCAGGAGAGGGGGAACAAAAGGCCAGGAGAGGGGGAACGAAAGGCAAGGAAATGGGGATCAAAAGGCTGGGAGAGTGGGAATGCTGAGTAGGAGGAAGGGTTTTAATCTTTGGGTTTCAAGATTGTACGGCTTTTTGTCTGCCCCGTCCTATTCCTTCCATTCTTTCCACTCCCTACTGTTCCCCCCCTCTCTGCTGCTCCCCTACTCTCTGCTGTTCCCCCCCTCTCTGCTGCTCCCCTGCTCTCTGCTGTTCCCCCCCTCTCTGCTGCTCCCCTGCTCTCTGCTGTTCCCCCCCTCTCCGCTGCTCCCTTGCTCTCTGCTGTTCCCCCCTCTCTGCTGCTCCCCTGCTCTCTGCTGTTCCTCCCCACTCTGCTGCTCCCCTGCTCTCTGCTGTTCCCCCCCTCTCTGCTGTACCCCCCCTCTCTGCTGCTCCCCTGCTCTCTGCTGTTCCCCCCCTCTCCGCTGCTCCCCTGCTCTCTGCTGTTCCCCCCCTCTCTGCTGCTCCCCTGCTCTCTGCTGTTCCCCCCCTCTCTGCTGCTGTTCCCCCCCTCTCTGCTGCTCCCCTACTCTCTGCTGTTCACCCCCTCTCTGCTGCTCCCCTGCTCTCTGCTGTTCCCCCCCTCTCTGCTGTTCCCCCCCTCTCTGCTGCTCCCCTGCTCTCTGCTGTTCCCCCCCTCTCTGCTGCTCCCCTGCTCTCTGCTGTTCCCCCCCTCTCTGCTGTTCCCCCCTCTCTGCTGCTCCCCTGCTCTCTGCTGTTCCCCCCCTCTCTGCTGTTCCCCCCCTCTCTGCTGTTCCCCTGCTCTCTGCCGTTCCCCCCCTCTCTGCTGTTCTTCCCCTCTCTCCTGTCCCCCCGGTATCTGCTGTCCCCCCGCTCTCTGCTGTACCCCTGCTCTCTGCTGTACCCCTGCTCTCTCCTGTCAAGCGTCCCATTGTCGTCGAGGCAAAGACCTCCTTTCCCTACCTCGCTACCCTCTCCCATCCTTTCCCCCCATCCTCCCTCCCATTTTCCCCACCCTGTCAAGCCTTTCCCCCATCCGCTACCCCTTACACTTATGGCCGGACTTTGGTTCCTCTTTAGGTCGCCGGTCTTGCCATCCCTTCTCCCCATCTGTCAATCACTTTCCCCTTCAACCCTATTGTTCACACCCTTGCTCAGGTGCTCTCCCATGGCCCTATGCTTCTACTCGTCACCCACCACTAACCCCCTATCCTTTACCCCCCCCTTTTCCAACCCATAATGGCACCCGTCCTTCGCAGTTCTGGAACTCAGGGTACCTGGGTCAGGTAGCTAAGGGAGTGCAAGTGCAAGTCGTTTTTAGTCAAAAGTCAGTTTTATTATGCTGCATACTACAGTGAATTAGGACAGCAATAAGTACTTCCTGTTAAAGTAACACTAGGCTAGGATACTAGGCAGGAACAAGGCCGCCATGAATGTGGCGGCGGGGTTTAGCTAGGAGCTGGATGAGAGTGTCGAGAGAAAAGAGAACTGGATTAGGAAGAGAGGGGAGTACAAGGAGGGGTTTGTACCCCCTACAGAAAGGTTCAGTAACAACCTACCAAGCCTATATAAATTATAACTTATATAATTTGAACACACCCCCTAGGCTTGGTAGTCACACACCCACCCAACACACCACACACCCCCTAACCTAGCACCCCCATTCCAGCCACAGGGACAGCGACACTAGGGCGGTCGACCCCACGGTGCGTGAGGCGGCGACGTCGACCGCAGGGGCTGCGGCGGCGACGGCGGCAGCGGCGGCAGTGTCGACAGCGGCGGCGGCGGCGGCGTGCGGCTGCGTGGCCCCGACGCAAGCGGCGACAGCGGCGGCGGCGGCGGCTTCGACAACAGCGGCGGCGGCGGCGGCACCCGCACCTCTCGGTGACGTGGCCAGACCCCGCGAGGGTGGGACGGCCGGCGGGAATCAGCCGTCAGCTGCGGCAAGATACAGGACACAGGGGAAGGGGGGGCGGGGCGTGGTCCAGCCTCACGCTTGAGGCTGGCGTGCGGGCAGCAGGTGTGGCGGCGCCATGAACGTCGCGCGGCAAGCTGCCGTCCGACGACGCTGCCACGGCAGCATTACGACGCCTACACATCGCGGCGTCGATGCAGCGGTGGGACGTCGCCGCTGCGATGGTAAGCACGGCGCCGTCACAGCAGTGTGGCGTCGACGCCACGCTTCACGACGCGACGGCACGGCAGGAACGGGCATGGTCGCCACGGCGGCACGGCAGGAAGTCGGAAGGCAGTAAACGAGAACACAGCGGAAGCACGGAGGGGAGCAGGCCCAGGAAGGACGTCCTGCTCTCGATACCATGTTAAAGTAACACTAGGCTAGGATACTAGGCAGGAACAAGGCCGCCATGAATGTGGCGGCGGGGTTTAGCTAGGAGCTGGACGAGAGTGTCGAGAGAAAAGAGAACTGGATTAGGAAGAGAGGGGAGTACAAGGAGGGGTTTGTACCCCCTACAGAAAGGTTCAGTAACAACCTACCAAGCCTATATAAATTATAACTTATATAATTTGAACACTTCCGTATACTCCTTGCTCCTAACATGCTCAACGTTGTTATTCTCATGACCAATACTATGAATAATACACTTGCATACGTGTTTATCAACATTTTCCATAGGGTGAGTTACGCTGTTTTGGATTCGGGTCTTTTGGCGCGTACAGTTGGGCTCTTGCAACTCCTGGTTGTAGCGTGTTCGCGCTTGGCGCCCTGCCCTGTGTTTGCAGCTCATTTTGCTCCAAGTTGCGTCCCAACCCTGTACACATAAAACTTCGTGTGGGTTGAATCAACAAAAAGAGCACGCCCCAGTGATCTCTTTCATTCTCAGTCGGAAATGTCGCGCGTGGATTTGGGGACCTCGTCGCACGCGTTCCGAATTCACCCAACCTCCCGCAGGCGTGGATTATGGTGGGTTCGTTTCTGCCCAGTTGCCCAAAAAGTTCCCTGTCAATTTCGCTCTAGCAACCCAACTTTTTCAAAAGTGCCCCCACTTCAAGAGGGGCTCACTTGAAGCCCCCCTTTGCTATTTTAGCCTGTGGTTTTAAATGATCAGTCACAAGCAGAAAAATCCGTTCTAAAACATCAGAATCTACGAGTCAATCACCTCATTGCCCCTCTACCTACATCACCTCCGGATAATCTCTCTACCAAGGGAAGCACATTCACTCCCCATTCGTCTGCCCATTTGCCAGCCGACCCAGTGGCCAAAGCACCAGCTCTTAGCTTTTCAAGCAGAGGAGCAGAGGAGAGTGCAGAGGAGGACAGGGGTGATGATGGGCAAGAGGGTGCGAAGGATGAGTAGGAGGAAACAGTGGAGGGAGAATGGGAGGGTTCGACGGAGGAACCTTCCGGGAATCCACAAAAGATGTCGATGAGTTGAGAGGCGAGTTCTGAGGAGTCTGAGAAGAGGAGGCCGTTGGTGCCATCCTTCACTAGCTCGTGGATGCTGAATGGAGGGAGAAGAGGGGGAGAGAAGAAAAGAAGCAAAGAGAACGTGGAGGAGAGAGGTGATTGGGAGGCGATGGAGTCTGAGAAGAGGAGGCCGTTGGTGCCGTCCTTCACTGGCTCGTGGATGCTGAATGGGGGGGGGGGGGGGAGGGGGGCGGTAGGGGAAGAAGGGGGAATGGGAGATGGAGAGAGGATGCATGAGTCTGAGAAAGAAGGCCGTTTGGTGCCATCCGTCCTTGAATAGCTTGCGGATGCTGAATGGGGGGGGAGGGAGGAGGAGGGGAGGGCTTAGGGTAACGACATTGTACGGAAGTGAGTAGAGAGGTGGCCGTTGGTGCCATCCGTGCTTCACTAGCTCCTGGATGCTGAATGGAGGGGGGAGATGGGCGGGAGGTGACGTGCGTGTCAGTGCAGGAGGGGTTCTGAGAAGGATGGTATTTTTCGAGTAGCAGATGGCACACCAGATGGTAAACATGTCAACCACTTCCAGGATCAGAGAACCCATTGGCTGGTAACCTTTAGGCGGTCTTACCAGAAGTGCTGATTGGAATAGAGGAGCCGCACCACAAGTAGGAGATGGCACACACGGAGAGGCCGAATCCAAACATGTCGACCACTTTCATAGGCAGATCCAGGCCTGCCTGACTACTCGCAACCCTCATTCAGAAAGGCTGCATAAAGGCCGCATAACGGCTGCATAAAGGCTGCATAACGGCTGCATAACGGCTGCATAAAGGCTGGAAAAAACGCCCTACCATGAGTAGGAGATGGCACAAACGGGCAGGCCGCACCCAAACATGTCCACCACCTTCATGGGCAGATCCAGGCCTGACGACGAGGTATGGAGAGACACGCCCAGGTCCGCCGAGCCTAGCAGCCTCGGGTAGTCCTCCGGAGCTAGCCACGCTGTCCGGAACGACACGTGGCGCAATCTCAGCCGCCGCATCTTGGCCTCGTAGTGCGATCGGAGGGCTCCCTTTCCTAGGGGTGGAGATAGAGGGATAAGAAAGAGGAGGATGGGGAAGAGGGATGAGAGGAGGAGAATGGGATAAGAATGAAAGTGCAGGATGGTGGGAAGGGGGTCAGATGGTGCTTGGGGCATTGAATACGGTCAGGAACGTTTGTGCTCACCAGTACGGCTAGCTTGGGAACTCGGCTCCAGATTCCAATCGCCCTCCACCTCCTTTGAGGCGCCTCAAAAAAATTTATTTATTTTTTCCCAGCATTAGCAAAACAGAAATTCCAAAAACACTCACCTGTGATGATAAAGGCCAGTTTAGGAAACTTGGCTCCAAACTCCAATCGCCCTCCACCTCCTGCCACTCCTGCTCCTGCCGCCACCTCTCCTCCCGCCTCTCCCTCTCCTACCAGCCCATTCTTTCTTGCATCATCAGCACCTGTTGACATTCCGGCTGCTGCTGCTGCTGCTGCTGCTGCTGCTGCTGCTGCTGCTGCTGCTGCTGCTGCTGCTGCTGCTGCTGCTGGTGTTGGTGCTGGTGTTGGTGTTCTCCCATCAGCCTGCCTGTAAGAAAGCAGGGGTGCTGCGTCAGCGCCCCTTCCCCCCTCCCCCCCTTGTTCTCCCCCAGGCTCCTCCTCCCCTTTTATCGCTGCCACGCGCCTGTCGTACATGAGAGCGGCTTCTAGCAGCACGTCAAAGTCCTCGTCAGCAGTCCTGGTGCAAAGGAGAAGGAAAAGGGCAGGGCATAGGAAGAGTGGTAGATAGCTAGCCACACGGCTGCTCTCCCCTTCCATCGCTGCCACGCGCCTGTCGTACATGAGAGCGGCTTCTAAGAGCACGTCAAAGTCCTCGTCAGCAGCCCTGGTGCAAAGGATAAGGAAAAGGGCAGGGCATAGGAAGAATGGTAGATAGCTAGCCACACGGCTGCTCTCCCCTTCCATCGCTGCCACGCGCCTGTCGTACATGAGAGCGGCTCCTAAGAGCACGTCAAAGTCCTCGTCAGCAGTCCTGCAGGGGGGGAATCGGGGATAGGACGCAAGCAGCAGCGCAGAGTGCTTGACAGCCACACGCCTCCTCCCCTATTATCGCTGCCACCAGCCTGTTGTACATGAGGGCTGCTTCCAGAAGCATGTCAAAGTCCTCATCCGCAGTGCTGCAGGGGGGGAATCGGGGATAGGACGCAAGCAGCAGCGCAGAGTGCTTGATAGCCACACGCCTCCTCCCCTATTATCGCTGCCACCAGCCTGTTGTACATGAGGGCTGCTTCCAGAAGCATGTCAAAGTCCTCATCCGCAGTCCTGGTGGGGAGAAGGGAGGGGGGGGAAGGGGGTTTGTTAGAGGGGAGGGGAACAAAGGGCAGGGGGGGAGGCGGTTGGGGGGGGTTGTGGGGGGGGGGGGAGGGAGGAAGGGAAGGGGGTTTGTGGGGAGTCCATATGTCAGGGGAACAAAGGGTTGAGGTTTAAAGCCCGCAGCTAGAATAGCAGACCTGGAAACCACTTGAATATGGTGCATTGAAATTTGTCAGGCAAGGCAGGTTTGATTTCAAAGCTGACTTTTTTTTCTTAGGCGAAACTATTTCAATTTGAGCATGCTGATTGGAGGAGCAACGGAAAATATCGCCCCGCGATCTGTTGCGACACAGTTATTTTGAAGCGATCCGCGCGAAGCACTGTGCATATCGCACGGAGGCCTTACGACTAGTTTGGGCGAGCGGCTTGCGACGAGGGAATTCAGGGGCGTTTTTCAAGTGATTCCCGGGTCTGTTATTGCAGAATCGAGCTGAGTTCGCCCCAATATCACTGTAGCCGTCGCATTGTCAACTGTTCACCGCCTGGCTCTCACACAAAAGTGTCGCCAAATTGCAACGGTCAGGCTCCGATTTGTTTAGACGAAAACTTCAAATCTGTGTAACCAATATGAATATCAATCAAATGCCAAGTTCCAGAGGAAATCAATCCAGAATCTTGAATGTTATTTTAGCCACGGGCTTTGAGGTCCAAGTGCAGCGAGTGCCAGCAAAAGGTGTGGGCATTCATTGCAGGAATAGACTTCCCAAAAAAAGAAAAAAAAAAGGAAAAAAATCAGAGCCAATGGGAACACACCAGCTACAGCTGGTGACAACAAGGGCAGGGCGATCGGGTCTGGGAGTCCACTGGGTGCTTTCTGAAGCGGTGACGTGCGGTGAGATGCGGTGCAGTGCGATGTGATGTGGTGCGAAGAAATGGGCAGGCATAACAAGTACGGGTACAGCCCACTCACCAGCTGGAGCTGCTAACAACAAGCGCCGGGCGATCTGGCCTGAGAGTCCACTGCGAGGTTCCTGATGCGGTGAGAAGCGGCACGATAGGATGCGATGTGATTCAGTACGATGCGTTGAGATGCAAATGTGGTGCGATGGGATGGGATGGGATGGGATGGGGTGGGATGGGATGGCATGGGATGGGATGGCATGGGATGTCGTGTGATGTGGCGTGGTGGGATAGAGTGTGTAAGATTGCAGTCACGGTGCACACTGGCTGGTTCGCAACTGTGTCCATCCAGTACTTTTACACCCCGTGCTTTTCTTTTGAGTCGACTCAAAAGTCCACCCAGTGCTTTTCTGCTAATATTGACAGCTCAAGTGGGGAAAAAATGCGAAAAAGGGGGGAAAAGCGCGAAAAGGGGGGGCGGGGAACGAGAAAAAGGGGGTAAAAAATCAGTTTCTCTGGACAGTAACTGGTCTCAGTGGTCCACTTATGTGTCTACCCAGCCTGGTCTCAGCTGCGTACCAGGAGCGGGCGGGGAGAAACAGCTGTCGAGAAGTGATTGGTCGATACGGCCTAGTACCTGCAGGGGGGAAGCAGGGTGGGGCATCGATACCTTTTCATAAAGGGTTTTTCTAGGCCACTCTATATGCGACTCTACATGCCACTCTCACTATATGGGTGGAAGATACACGGATTGACTGATGATGCTTGCTCTTGCTCTCTCAACCATCCTCCCCATCTCCCCCTTCCTCCCCCACCCTCCCCCTCTCTCTCCCGACCAACACCACCCCTTCACATCCCACCACTCCCCCACCCCACCCTCACTCATCTCCTCCAATCAGTTTGGTCGGAGGAAGGCAGGACGCACTGCAGCTCTGAGCGTCACGCACACACACACCACCCTTCTCTCCCCTTCTCTCCCCTTCTCCCTCACTCTCCCCACCCACTCTCACCTCCCTCTTCTCCTCCAGTGAGCTCGGTCGGAAGAAGGCAGGCGGCCGATCGTACAGCACTGTGGCACTGAGAGACAACCAGACACAGTGGAATAAGCCAACACCGAAACACAGAAACATTGAATTGTGTTGAAACACAGAAGCACATATCCGGAAACCTTGTCAAAAAAAGAAAAGAAAAAAAAGTATCAAGAATAGGGGGAAAGGGGGAGCGATACAAAAAGAAAAGTTTGTCACTCATGGTACAGTGCCAATGCGAGAACTCAACTCAATAATGAACGACCAAACCGAGCCACGAAAACGTTGTATCCTGTCACTGGCTGGGAATACTAGAACATTAATGCCACAAATGCCAGCGTTGTTTGTTGTTGTTGTTGTTGTTTTTTTTTTTTTTTTTTTTTTTTTTTTTTTTCCCTTTTTCCTTGTTCCCCTCACCGTATATCCCAGTTGTTTGCTAGCTCCTGCTGCATTGCACGCGTCACACATATGTGCGCCGCTGCCTGGCGGGCGATTGTGGTCTCGTACCTGGGCAAACATATGGGTGGATATGGGGGGATATGGGGGGATCTGGGTGGATATGGGGGGATCTGGGTGGATATGGGTGGGTATGGGGGGGTATGGGTGGCTAACTAGCTGCGTGGATATGGGGGAGTATGGGCGGATATGGGGGGGTATGGTTGGATATGGGGGGGTATGGGTAGAGATGGGGGGGTATGGGTGGATATGGGGGGGTATGGGTGGATATTGGGAGGTATGTCGAGACATAAACATGGGGAATGCATCTTATGGCTCGATTCACACATATGTGCGCCGCTGCCTAGCGAGCTAATGAATGCAGTGTGCGCATGCACGCATACCAACGCATGCACACACCATTTGTGGATCTTCACTAGGGGGTGGGCAGGCCCGAAGCGCAGCCCGAACAGCGTGAACCCGAAGTTGTGCCAGTCGATCACGAACGAGGCTCGGCGCACGAGACCAGCGAATCGCACCACTGTGAAGGTGGGGATGGTGGGGGGGTTCTGGGAGGGGGAGGGGGGGGAGAGGGCGGTTTGGGGGAGAGGAGAGGAGAACGGAAAGGGAAGGGAGAGTGTGTGGAGCGAGACGCTCGGTGCATGAGGCCAGTGAATCGCACCACTGTGAATGTGGGGATGGTGGGGAGTTTCTGGGGGAGCGAGTAGGGGAGAGAGGGTAGGGGCAGGCTGGTATGGGCGTGTGACAGCGAGAGGCATCAAACGCAACGAGGCCACCAAAGCACACCAGTGTGAAGGAGGGGATGGCGGGGGGGTTCTGGGAGGGGAGAGGGGGGGGAAGGGGAGAGAGGGTAGGGGCGGGCGGGGATGGGCATGTGACAGCAGATCACACAAACAACTGTGAAGGTGGGGATGGTGGGGGGGTTCTGCAAGGGGAGGGGGGTTGGGGGAGAGGGTTTGTGGGGAGAGGGTTTGTGGGGAGAGGACTGTGGTGCTGTGAGAAGCATAGGGCACATGAGATGAGACCAGTGAATCGCACCACCCTGGACGTGGGGATGGTGGTGGGGGGGAGGGGGGAGAGAAGAGGAACATCAAAGGTGCGGGGGCAATGGGGAAGAGGGAGGGCGAAGGGGCAAGGGGAGGCAGGTGTAGGGTTTAGGGTTAGGGTTCAAGGTCTAGAAAAAAAAAAAAAAAAAAAGGGAACGAAGAAGGGAGGGAGGAAGGAAGGGAAGGTAGGAAAGTCGGGGAGAGAGCTTGACTAGCCTGCAGCAGGTAGAAGTCAGGCGGGGGCGTGGAGACGCAGAGCACCCAGAGGAAGCAGAGCACTTGGGATGCCACACAGCATAACAAAAGAGCAGAGCAAGGAAAATACACTCACCTGCAGCAGGTAGAAGTCCGGCGGGGGCGTGGAGACACAGAGCACCCAGAGGAAGAAGAGCACTTGGGATGCCGCACAGCATAACAAAAGAGCAGAGCAAGGAAAATACACTCACCTGCAACAGGTAGAAGTCCGGCGGGGGCGTGGAGACGCAGAGCACCCAGAGGAAGCAGAGCACTTGGGCGATGAGCTTGAGTGGCAGCAGGAGCAGGTAGAGCGGGCGAGAGAGCTTGCTGGAGAAGGAGAGGCTCTGCGTGAGGAAAGGGGGAAAGGGAGGGTGGATGGGAAGTGGGAGAGAGGGGTGACTACTGGAGGAGGAAGCAGAGCACTTGAGCGATGAGCTTGAGTGGCAAGCAGGCAGCAGCAGGTAGAGCGGGCGAGAGAGAGAGCTTGCTGGAGAAGGGGAGGCCCTGGGAGGGAAAGGGGACAGAGGAGGGTGGAAAGGGGAAAAAAGACGCTAAACCCTAAACCATGCAGCGCAGCAGCAGCAGCAGCAGCAGCAGCAGCAGCAGCAGCAGCAGCAGCAGCAGCAGCAGCAGCAGCAGCAGCAGCAGCAGCAGCAGCAGCAGCAGGTAGAGAGGGCGAGAGAGAGAGCTTGCTGGAGAAGGGGGAGGGAAAGGGGAACAGGAGGGTGGAAGCGGGGTGGAGACGCTAGGCCGGCTGACGAAGCAGAGTAGCAGCAGGTAGAGCGAACGAAACAGCTCACCTCACCCTACCCACGTGGGAGTAATCTCGTTCTGAGACGTGTCAAGACGAAATGACTAACACACGGAGCCGCAGCAGGTAGAGCGGGCGAGACAGCTCACCGTACTCATGCTCCCCCCAATTTCCCCCCAACCGTCCCTCACTCTCTCCCCCCACCACCTCACCCCCCTCCGCCCCCTTTTCCCCCCGTTCCCCCTTCTTCCCCCATTCCTCCCCAGCAGGCGCAGGTGGATGCGCGGGTGCTCCGCCACCGAGGGGTGCACCTGGCACCCCCCTGAAGCCGTCGTTCCCCCATCCCTCCCGAATCTCTCCCCCCTCCCCTCCCCCCCCCATCCCCCCCTTTTCCTCACCAGCAGGCGCAGGTGGATGCGCGGGTGCTCCGCCACCGAGGGGTGCACCTGGGACCCTGGGGGAATAAGAGGGATAAGGGGGAAGAGGGGGGGGGGGGGGGGGGGGGGAGGAAAGAGAGGAAAGGGATTGTTTGGGAAAAAGGAGGGGATGACGGGACGTGAAAAGGAGGGGATGACGGGACGCGAAACATAGACTGGCAGAGAACTGACAGTGCAGGCACATGGCAAAACATGGGATGGCAGAGAGAGAATGCAGAGAATGCAGAGAATACAGAGAATGCAGAGAATGCGGAGAATGGCATCATGAGGCCGGGAAAGAAAGAAGGCAGCATGCAGAGAAGGAGGGGATCAGTGGAGAGGGAGGAACTTAGATGGCAACGGCCAAGACGAAACGGATGCAAAACGCCTCAAGATGAGGCGTTTCAGTTACTGCCTTAACAGCTTACTGTTTCTCAGCTACTGCCTCAACGAATTACTGGTTTTCAGCTACTAGTAGTGAGATGACTGCCTCACTGAGGTCATGAGGTCGGGCGCCCAAAGACGGGCGTCCCAAGATCCAATGTACACCAAATTGATCCAGGCAGACCTCTACCTGCTTGCCGGATAGTCACATACCTGTTTTTGAGGCGCTTCAAAACTGAGGCTATTTTTGAGGCGCCTCAACAATTGATCCAGGCAGACCTCTACCTGCTTACCGGATAGTCGCATGCCTGAAAACCCCATATAGTCTTACCTCCGTATCCGATAAGGTCGACCTCTAATCCAGCCTGCACGTCCAACGCAACGCCACAAGAGGAAGCGCGTAAAAAAACACATAAATCCACGTCATTCGGCATATACTCCTTACTAGGTGTTCTGTTTTGTGAAACACAGAAGCTTGAAAAAGACACATAATTCTGGGAGCAATAGGGCTATACAACTCCACAGGACGCATCATCCTCCCTGTTACGAAATTCGGTACCCGCTAACTAGCTGCGTGCCGTCTATACGGCATTCCTAAATGGATAACTCGCGAAAATCCCGTCATCTTCCTATAACGAGACATTCTCACTCCAAGCATAATGACATTTTCGTTTTGATCACAATAAGAAAACCCGAGCGGTTTGCCAGCTGCCCGCTGATTCGCGACTGAATGAGCCTATTTTTTTGCCGCCTAAAAAATAGACGAAACGAGCGAGCAAACATCTCGAATAGCGGACAGGAAAGAGAAACTAAGTCGAGTCTGACTGGCTAGCGGGCTAGCGATAAGTTTAAAAGACAGAGCCGGCGATAACCCTAGCGATAAGTTGGATTCACCTGATTGGCTAGCGACAGCGCGTGGTACTGCATGCGAGGGCTGCGACCCACGTCGCCCACCACCACCACCGCCGCTCGACCGCGCCGCCTCGTCATCCGGGAATCTCTGGGACCCGGCGGCAACCCCTAAGCTTAAGAACTAGGTTAAGAGATGAAAGAATCTCTAAGCTTCGACCACCACCGCCGCTCGACCACGCCGCCTCGTCATTCGGCAATGCCTAAGCTTCGGAAATCCCTTGGGACGGCAACCCCTAAGCTTAGGAAGTTTCTAGGTTTAAATTCTCAAGATGAGAGAATCTCTAAGCTTCCACCACCGCCGCCGCTCGACCGGGCCATCTCCTCTTCATCTGGCAATGCCAAGCCTTCGGCAATTCCTAGGTACGGCAATCCCTAGGTTCGGCAATCCCTAACCCTCGGCAATTCCCAAGATCCGATCTCGTCGCGAGACCTCGAGATCGCAACCGCTCGGCCAGAGAGACTCGAACCTACGATCCAACTAAGTCTCGGATCCTCCAGATTCTAATAAATCGACCGAATGTATAAGTGTGACCTCACATGGAACGAGACTAGAGACTATAAACCTTTACTACGTACCATGGCGCGGGAAATGCGGAACTGGTAGCGACCTAAACCACAAACTAGAAACTAACACGATTCGTTATAACTATTGACTCGGAACTTATAAGGCACGGATGGAAGGGGAGGGCTCTCGGTTCTAAGGGTAAACATCCGGAATGTCCGGTACTTCCGGGTGTTTTGAGATAGAATACGGATTTTGATAGGGTCGTTTATACAAACATCCTGACTGTCACCGGATGTTTTTTTCTGGGACCCGGAGCCATCGCATGGGCGCGAAAATCATTCTGACAGAAAAATCACCTGTGACGGATCCCCCACTTGATGGCTACAACTTTGACACAAATGAATCGTGACGTGAATGGCTCCCCAAGCAGATGGTTCTTGCACCCTCCAACTTTGTTGTTCCTGGTTCGAATGCTAATTTTGGACCTTTGTGCAGGAGAGCGCTGGTGTGCAGTTGTCAGCGGCTAGTGTTTGTCGGGTGCAAAGGTTGGTACTGTAGTATTTAACAGCCAGGCGCTTACATTTTGTAGTATTGCGATGCTGTTAGGACGCTTCGTTCCAAACTAAGCTGCCTGTGCAATTTGGGAAATATGGAGGCTTCAGGGGAATCCTGAAAAACAGAGGGATTCTCCAGGGAATACTGATTTTTCAAGGTCTTTTGTGAGGCGAATCCTGTGCCTTCCGGGTCCCGTATAACGAAAAATTAGCCCTGAAGGGGATGTGGCATGGCATCCCTTATGACGTCACTTCATTGAAGTGTGTCACCGTTTGTACCACTCACGAAGCAATTCGCTATCATTGTGGAAGTTACGATGAATGAAATTGAATGAAATTAAATGTCTTGTTGATTTTACCAAGAATGTGTCTCCAACCTGTAGTCTCTAGTTCCAGATGAGCTTTCTCTACGTTTGTCTGATGAGTTATCAATTATCTACAAGATATTTGATGTGTCCATGATAGACTAGCATAAAAGCATGATGGTATCAACATTCCAAGGCATGGTTTTGGTACTGCATCCTTGAGTTTCAAGGCCTATGACTAACCAATTCTTTACACAAAAGGCTCTTGTTGCATCAGCCACATGGAAACCGCAGCATCGGGATACAGCACCATCGCACGAGCCAAATGACAGGGTACTGTACCTGCATAACTTGACATGTTGCCAGGGGAATATGGAAAGATGGCCTCTTCCAACCAAAGCATCACCCTAACCAACTCACTCTCAATACCCATCAGGAGCTCGTTCACCCCTCCCCATCAGTCTGAGGAGTCTATTTTTTAGGCGCCTAAAAAATGGAGTCATGTGTGAGGAGTCTATTTTTTAGACTCCTCACCCATTAGAAGCTCGTTCACCCCTCCCCACCAGTCTCACTATCTTCAGGGCTGCTAAATTCACCCCCCTCCTCATGCTCACACTCACCGTCAAACTCACCCCCAAACTCACCCTCATACTCCTCCCATCCTTCCTCCTCTTCCCCCTGCTCCCAATCTACGGCCACGATTGCATCTGCCAGCATTTCATGCTGCCGTGCTGTCAAGCCTGAGAATGAGTGCAGGCAGCGGCGGTGAGGGGACTTCTGGGTTGCGGTGTGGGATGCAATGTGCAGTGAAAAGGATGGGCCTGCAGGGGAGAACATGGAGCAGTGGTGAGGGGACTTCTGGGTAGCGGACTGGGGTGCATTGTGGATTGACTTATCTGGGCTGGAGAGAGAATGCAGGGAGCGGTGCTGCACTTGCTGCTGCTGCTGCTGCTGCTGCTGCTGCTGCTGCTGCTGCTGCTGCTGGACTTCCCCAAGCTCCCCCGTCGTCCCTCCCATCCTCCACTCCTGTGCGATCAGCGCGTCTGATTCCTCGTCTGACGTCTCCCACCCTGCCACATCCCACCTTGATGTGCTCTCATGACTGCTTTGCTGCTGCCTGTGGTGCTGCTGCAAATGCAGCTGCCATATCTCTTGCTCTACCTCCAGCTCAGCCCCTGATCCCATCCTCCACTCCCGTGCCACCACCACCTCTGACTCCTCGTCTGACGCGTCCCACCCTGATGTGCCCTGCTGACCGCTCTGATGCTGCCTGTGGTGCTGCTGCGAATGTGGCTGCCGTACCTCGTGCTCTCCCTCCAGCTCCCCCCTCGCCCCTCCCATCCTCCACTCCTGTGCGATAACCACCTCTGACTCCTCGTCCGACGCCTCACACCCTGCCGCCCCACACCCTGCCGCCTCACACCCTGTCGCGCTCTTTTGAACCACATCACTCCACGGCCCTTCACACGCTGTCTCAGTACCTCTTGTCTCACCCTCCCCCCTCTCACCCTCCCCCCTCTCACCCTCCCCCCTCTCACCTTCCCCCCTCTCACCTTCCCCCCTCTCACCTTCCCCCTCTCACCTTCCCCCCTCTCACCTTCCCCCTCTCACCTTCCCCCCTCTCACCTTCCCCCCTCTCACCTTCCCCCTCTCACCTTCCCCCCTCTCACCTTCCCCCCTCTCACCTTCCCCCCTCTCACCTTCCCCCCTCTCACCTTCCCCCCTCTCACCTTCCCCCCTCTCACCTTCCCCTCTCTCACCTTCCCCCCTCTCGCCTTCCCCCCTCTCACCTTCCCCCCTCTCACCTTCCCCCCTCTCACCTTCCCCCCTCTCACCTTCCCCCCTCTCACCTTCCACCATCCCTTGTCGCCTCCCCAGCCCTCCCACCTCCCCTCTCCTCCACCTCGCCACCACCCCATCCTGTCTCCTCCAATCCACATACACCTCGCGCACTCCCCCTCTCCCTCCCCCCAAGCCCCCTCCAAAACCTCCTGCAAAAGCCCCTTCCTCCCCTGCTCCTCCCCTTCCTCCCCCTCCCCCTCCCCCTCCACCTCCACCTCATCCCCCTGCCCTCTCAATTTCCCGCCGCTCGAGCTCACTCAACTCTGAAAACGACAGAGACGCTTTCCTGGAAAGTTCTGGGCCCGCCTTGCCTGCTTGTCTTGATCTCAAAGCCATTATTATGCGTGCCCTGCTGCCCTTCTGATGCGCATCAAGAGCCGTGTGCGCTGCGCTCCCCTTCCCCTCGAACTGCTTCCTCTCTTGCTGCTGAGGCGCTTCCCTGTGACCTGCTGTCCACTTCTCTGCTTGCTGCTTCCTCCTCTCCTGCGGAGCCACATCATTAACCGTTGTCCACTTCTCTGCTTGCTGCTTCCTCCTCTCCTGCGGAGCCACATCATTAACCGTTGTCCACTTCTCTGCTTGCTGCTTCCTCCTCTCCTGCGGAGCCACATCATTAACCGTTGTCCACTTCTCTGCTTGCTGCTTCCTCTCCTGCTGCTGAGGCGCCTCCCTGTGTCCCTTTGTCCTCGTCTCTTCTTGCTGCTTCCGTTTTTTAGGCGCCTCAAGAACATTCTTTGCTTGCTGCCTCCTCCTCTCCTGCTGATCCACACCATAACCCATTGTCCTCTTCTCTTCTTGCGTCTTCCTCTCCTGCTGCTGAGGCGCGTCCCAGTGCCCTGTTGTTCTCGTCTCTTCTTGCTGCTCCTCCCACCGCATCTGAGGCACCTCCTCAAAACCCCTTGTCCCCTTCTCCGCCTGCTGCTTCCCCCTCCCGCCTCTGCAGAGCCACATCGAAACCCGTCATCCTCTTCACAGTTCTCTGCTCACTAGTTTTTTCCTTCGCAGCCACTCCCCTCCCCCACTCCCCTCCTACCCATCTTTCTCCCCCCCACTCTTCTCCCTCCTCTGCCAATCTCCCCCTCGCCCCACCTCCACCCATCCTCACTTCCCTTCCCCCCTCCACACTCCACTGCTTCCCTCCCTGCCTCTCACTCCCCCCTCCCCACTCCTCGTTCCCCTCACACCTCCTCGCATCTCTCTCTCCTACTCCTCCCCACCTTGCCATACCCTCCCTCTCTACCACCCATCCCCTCTCGCCTCTCCCTGCCATCCTCCCCTCCCTCTCCCTCCCTCCAATGTCCCTCATCCTTCTGCCCTCCCTGCTCCCACCCCTTCCCCCAATCCCTTTCTCTCTGGCTATCAGACCCCTAGCAGCTTCCCCACCTGCACCAGTCAACACCTCGCTCCTGCTCCTCCTGTGCTGCTCATCTCTGATCCCCTCCACTTGTGCTACCTCAGGTGACCTTCCAGCCACCTCTAAGCCCCCCCCGAAATGGGTCAACCCCCTCTCTTTGGCTGTCAGACCCCTTGTAGCAGCAGCACCAGTCAACACCTCGCTCCTGCTCCTCCTGTGCTGATGCTTCCCCGTTGTTTTCCCCGCCTTCCTAGTTGCGAGCAGGGAAGGTCCGCCTTGCTTCACCTCAGAAACATTTCCCCTGCGCCCCTCCCTTAATTCTTCGGTCTCTCTCACTGCCTCATCTGGTAACCCGAAACGCACCCGTAATGACTCCGGCTGCTGCTGCTGCTGCTGCTGCTGCTGCTGCTGATTCGCTCCCTGTTCCTTGTGCCCCTCCCATTGCTGCTTCTGCTGCTGCTGCTGCTGCTGCTGCTGCTGCTGCTGCTGCTGCTGCTGCTGCTGCTGCTGCTGCTGCTGCTGCTGCTGCTGCTGCTGCTGCTGCTGCTGCTGCTGCTGCTTCTGCTGCTGCTGCTGCATCGTCCTGCCATCTTCCCGTTGCTGCTGCCACTGCCGCTCGTCCCTTGCCTCCTCCTCTTGCCACTGCCGCTGCCGCTGCCGCTGCTGCTGATGCTTCTCCTGATACTCCTGATGCTCCCACCCCTGCTGCTCCTCCCTCTCCCATACCTCGTACTCCTCCTCCTTCGGTGCTTCCATTGCCCCCCTTGCGTCAGTGGCTGCTGTCTCGAGTTTTGCCACTGCTTCTGCTGCTTTCGCTACTGCTGCTGCTGCTGCTTCACCCTTTGCTTCACCTTCTGCTGTTCATAATCTAGACCCTCTTCTAGAGGGGTCAGCGGGCGAAAATTGGGCAGAGTGCGCGACCGCCTGTGGCCTCCGGGCAGCATGTGAATTTTTTACTCCAGAGCCACAGCAGAGGAAGGCGAGGCGAGGAAAGAGGTGGAGGAGGAGGAGAAGGATGAGGAGGGGCCAAAGGAAGGGGAGGAGCAGAAGGGCCGAGGGCCGGAACCGGCCCCTGAGAAGGGCCGAGGGGCGAAAGAAAGGTAAGGGGCAGAGTCGACCCTTGGGCTTGGCACACTCCGAGCAGCAGCAGAAGGGCTCCTACTCTTCCTCCTCCCAGGTATCTCTGCTTCTCCATTGGACGAAGAACCACTCTGCTTGACCTCGCCTGCATGCATACTGCCCCTTCTTTCCCCCACATGCCACCGCCCTCCCTTCTCGGCGCTTCCACCTGCAATGCGTGCGCTACCAGGATGCTGCAGATTATCCTCCTCTTTGTTTCTGCGCCTGGCTTTGCCAGCCCGAGGAGTGAATAAGTGACCAGTGTCGCTCCCACGTTCACTCTCCCAAGCCTTCTCACCGTTGTCACCTGCAAAGTCTGCCCTCACAAGATGCAGATTATCCTCCTCTTTGTTTCTGAGCCTGGCTTCGCCAGCCCTAGGGGTGAATAGGCCAGTGTCCCAATCCCCCTCTTTCCCACCTTCTATGTCCCACGTCTTCTCCACACCTCCTCTCACCCTCCGTGTATAGAGCCCTGTGTCCCTCGCCCGTCGGGTGTAGACTTGCGTGTCACCCTCCCCGCCCCCCGAGCTGCTTGTGAATCCCACTCTCCTGGCACGTTGCCCTCCACTCCTAGCAGCAGCAGCACCACCACCAGCAGCAGAAGCAGCAGCACCACCAGCAGCAGAAGCAGCAGCATTAACAGCACCAGCACCAGCAGCAGCAGCAGCAGCAGCAGCACCAGCACCAGCACCACCAGTGCCACAGCTGCCACCATGAAGCCCACAACGACCATCACCGTCATAATCAGGATAATCATGATAATCACCGTAATCACCATCATCACTATAATTACGACCACTAGAACCGGCATTATGATCCTCCTCATCGCCCTTTGCACTGTACTCATCCCCGCTACAATCACCATTAACACCACCACTATCACCACCATTACTATTGCTATCCAGCTCAATATAAAAGGCTGTGGCAGCCGCACCACAGGTCTCCCGTTTCCACGAAAAGACGTCTCACTAAACTCGTTCCCACGACTCCAAACCCTCCTCTCCTCACCCGGCTTCCCCCCCCTTTCCACGCCCCTACCTTCCCCATCATCCTCCCACCTCTCTCCCCATTCCTCCTCCCTTGCATCCCATGTCGGCCGCTTCACCCCGCCCCTTGAGGGGCCCTTAGGGGTCCTTGACATCCATGCTTCTCTCGCTGCTGCTGTTGCCGGCTTAGGAGAGGGGCGGGAGCGAGGGGTGGAGGCAGAGCGAGAGAAAGAGGTGGGTTTGGGAGAGGGGGTGGAAGCTAGGGGAGAGGGGGTGGTGGGGCGGTTAGAGGAGAGGGGAAGGTGACTATTCGGATTGAAGGAGAAGCTACAAGCTTCTGGAGATGCACCTCTGCCTTCGCACTCCACTCTTCTGCCTTGACTCTCCGCTCCTCTGATCGACCACTCCTCTCCCTCCTTCCTCATCTCTTACCGCTGCTGATGCTAACACTGATGGTCTGAACGCCCTTGTTGATGCTGCTGCTGCTGCTGTTGCTGCTGCGGATTTTAACGAAGATGCCTGTAGCGAGGATGTCCCTAACGTTCCTATCGAGGTTGTTCTTACAGGGGATAGTGAGGCTGCTTTGCCCCTGGGCCTTCCAGGCCCCCCTACAGTCACAGACCGTGTATAATCACAACCATCAAATCGTGTATAATCACCAGCCTCCTCACCATCTACATACGTCCTTCTCCTTTGCACCCCCTTCCCCTCCCTCTTCGCACACTCCTCCTCACCCTTCCCCTCCTCTTCCTCCTCCTCCTACCCATCCCAGCCCCATTCCCCCCTCACTCTCCCTCTCCCCCTCCCATCTTCAATCCCCATCCCTTCCGCTCTCCCCTCTCTACTCTCCTCTTCTTCCCCCTCTTCCTCCCCTCCTCCCAGCCTCCCTTTCGCCTTTAACGTCATGGAGATAGATTGCAGGAAGCTTATAGGGGAAAGGGAGGTGGGGGAAAGCAGCGGAGGGAGGGGCAGGTATTTGGACCTCTCTGATTCTCCCACGTTCGCTGTAGGAAGCTTCGAAGACAGCTTCTTCAGCATGCTGTCAATCCAAGCGCCTATAGATCCTTTTTTCTTCCCATCACTCCCCTCCTCCTCCTCCTCCTCCTCCTCCTCCTCCTCCTCCTCCTCCTCCTCCTCCTCCTCCTCCTCCTCCTCCTCCTCCTCCTCCTCCTCCTTCTCCTCCTCTTCCTCCTGCCTCTCCATCTTCTTCCCACTCACATCCCTCTCCCCCCTCCCTGTCCCTCTCCCCACCATCATCCCCACCATTCTCCCTTTTACCATCCCCCTCTTCTCGCTCTATGTCTTTCGCTTGCTTCCCCGCCCCTACAATTGCACGGGTAAAAACCGAAACCACCCCTCCAAGCCCTCTTTTTCCAGGGGTAACCGGGCTTAAGTCCCTTGCTGGAGCATCCCTCCCTTCTCTCTTCGTGCCCACTTCCTCATGCCCATAAATTTCTCCCCCCCCATTCAGCTCCCCCTTTTTCTCCACTCCCCCTTCCCCCTCTTCCTCTTCCTCCGCTCCCCCTTTCGCGGCTCCCCTCTTCTTCCCCTGCTCCTGTCCCACCTCCTCTCCCCTCCTCCTCACCTCCTCCAACTCCGACTCTAAACCCACCACTGCATGTTCATCATCCCTTGCTGGTTGGGAGAAACGGACAACAAGAGCCCTATCTGTCCCACCACCTTCCCTTCCCACGCGCCCCACCCCTGCAGTCATCCTCATTACAAGCTGCTTCAGCTGGCTCTCTGTAATCTGCGGTGATTGCACAGGGATGGTTTTGCCTGCCCTAGGTAATGCAGCACTGATGGTGCCGGTATTGCTTCTTCCACTGTTGCTGCTGCTGCTGCTGCTGCCAGTGCCGCAACTGCCAATGCTGCTGCTTGTTGCCCTGTTGCTGGATGTGCCGCTGCTGCTGGTTTCGGTGCCAGCAGGGCAGCAAGGCGCGTGCATCTGCTGCCATGTGGCATGAGCTGCATTGATCACAACCGTTGCCCGACTCAGGGGCAAAGCGCCATCACGAAAGTTAATTGTGTGGGGTGGGTCTGCTGTAAGGGGTGGAGGGGGGGAGGAGGTATGGAGGAGGAAAAGAAGGGGGCAATCAAAAGGTGGTGGGAGAAGGGAGTTTGGCAACAGGAGGGGGGAGGGGGGAGGGGGGAGGGGGGAGGGGGAGGTCACCCGAGACTCTGAGAGCAGGGCAGAGGGTGGTGTATTTTGAGTCGACTCAAAATACACCAGGAGGGGGGAGGGGAGGTCACACGAGAGCAGGGCAGAGGGTGGTGTATTTTGAGTCGACTCAAAATACACCAGGAGGGGGGAGGGGAGGTCACACGAGAGCAGGGCAGAGGGTGGTGTATTTTGAGTCGACTCAAAATACACCAGGAGGGGGGAGGGGAGGTCACACGAGAGCAGGGCAGAGGGTGGTGTATTTTGAGTCGAATCAAAATACACCAGGAGGGGGGAGGGGAGGTCACACGAGAGCAGGGCAGAGGGTGGTGTATTTTGAGTCGACTCAAAGTACACCAGGAGGGGGGAGGGGAGGTCACACGAGAGCAGGGCAGAGGGTGGTGTATTTTGAGTCGACTCAAAATACACCAAGAGGGGGGAGGGGAGGTCACACGAGAACAGGGCAGAGGGTGGTGTATTTTGAGTCGACTCAAAATACACCAGGAGGGGGGAGGGGAGGTCACACGAGAGCAGGGCAGAGGGGGAGGGGAGGTCACACGAGAGAGCAGGGCAGAGGGTGGTGTATTTTGAGTCGACTCAAAATACACCAGGAGGGGGGAGGGGAGGTCAGACGAGAGAGCAGGGCAGAGGGTGGTGTATTTTGAGTCGACTCAAAATACACCAGGAAGGGGGAGAGGAGGTCACACGAGAGAGCAGGGCAGAGGGTGGTCCCCACGAAAGGCATTTGTGTGGGTTGGGACTTCTGGAGGGAGGAGATTTTTTAGAATTCTAAAAAAATACCTACAACAAGAGGGTGGTCACGAAAAGCAATGGTGTGGGGTGGGACTTCTGTGAGGGAGGGGGTTGGGGGGATGGGGGAGAAGGGAATAAAAACAGGAGATTGGAATGAAAAGCGAGGAGGACAAATGAAGGGAAGGTCTTTCGAGAGAGGGAGTTCCTTCCCTTTCCCTCCAGTTCCAGTTCCCTCCCTTTCCCTTTCCCTTTCCCTTTTATAACAGCTCTGGGGCTGTTAGTAGGAGTAGAGGTTGAGGGATCCTTGAAGACAGAGTGCTAGCATAATCAATAGATCATATGATAGCTTCAAACAAAGAAGAGAGCACACTTATACTAGGAAAGCTTTCTTGGCACCTTGGTACTTCTGAAGGCGCCTAGTTAAGGTCGCCCGTGGCGCCTTGGCCTTTCTATCCTAGCTGAAGACAAGCAAGCAAGCTCATGATTATTTACAAGTAGCCTTGCCTTGTTGTCTCTCCTAGGAAATAGCTAAACAAGCATAGAAATCAACTATACAAGTAGTTTTCATTTTCCAAGTAGTGCTGGTGTCTTCGTCACCTTGTACATGTCGATTGTAGTCCACGCTGGCGCTTGTAGTAGCTGCAGTAGTTAATCTCTAGGTTGCGCTGGCGCTTTCCATGCTTTGCTGGCTCTCGGAATCTGCTCTAGAGTAGTGCTGTGACTCACAGGCACCTGAACAAATTTGG